GGATATTGGTTTCTACTATATCGTTTTGTGTTTTTTTTTGTGTGTTTAGGACTTGTTCTATTTTTAATGTTTATACTTAATCTCAATCAGTACAGTTATAGTTTGTGTATTTTATTATTTCGTTACTCGTATATGTGTTAAGATTTGCCCCCCCCCCCTTTAATAATAATATTAGTTGTAATCAGAGTCATATATGGTTAATTTCATTCCTTCTTTTATTACGGTTTCAATTTTGTATAAATTGTTAGGTTCTTAGAGCTTTATAGTATGATTTGTTACATACTAACTGTTTTAATCCTTATATAGGAGTTGGAGATTAATGGTATATCAATATATATATATATGATTTCTTATTTACTGGGTGTTCTTATTCTGTATTCGTAATAGAGATTGAGGGTTCATTATTATCAACTGATGTTTGAGTATAATTGTATATTTTCTTCCCTTTAAGGGTTTCTTATTGATTAATAATAGTTTTTATAGGTATGAGATTTAATTTTGAATAACTTTTGATTCAAACGGTTAATTAGATTATTGTTATTCACTTGTATATAACCTTCTGTAACATGTTTGATTGTATCATTGCTTGATAACGGTGAGAGTGACCTCATTAAAACGTTGCAGTTAATACACCTAGTGAATGTCATCCATAAAACTGTCTGTTTATTATATATCACTTTCACTAAATGCCTTTCAAAGATACTACACATAGTTGGTTTTAAAAAAAGCAAAACATAATGGAGCTCAACGCAAGTATTTATAACTAAACTACGTATGTTTGGAGCTTACCGTTTTCTCCTGTAACCGGAAGCATAGTGATTGCTAAACGGTCGGCGGTAAAATTTGCATTATCTCTCGTGGTATAGGATATAGGTATTGGCCATTTGTAACTGTAAGAGAAAATTGTATTTGAAAGGCAATAAAACATTAAACAGTCATCGTCGAATAAAAATGATTGTGTTAAACACTGTATCCATGCTGAGAAAATTACACTATCAATCTCATGCGCGACATTTCTGGAATATAACCCCAACCAGCAAATTTGAGAAAAAATGCAAAAACTCCACATATGGCGATACTTGTATTTATGTTAAGATTTATGACCCGATTGCGTGTCCGGGTTCCCTGAATTGTGATCTTGAAATGGTCAACATCTGCCCAAAGAACTATTTGGCTTAACATTATAACAAGAACTGAAAACCCTCGCAGCTACTACTGAAAAACGAACCATTTATACCATATCTTAATTAAGAAAACATTCGTATTCAAAGATGTTTTGGACACACATTATATGGGATAAACATGTAACTAACATCTACACTAAAGAAGTGATCATTTATTATATATGATCCTTAACATATACCCGATTAAATGTAGCATTATTTCCAATCCAGAATCCACACTATTGTCACATTAAATGGGATGTGTACTTGGATGACCTTAACACTAAATTAGAAACCTTACAGCACGATGTACTCGGAAATGCATGTGGTGCTGTAAAAGGAACCAACCACAGAGTACTAAATGAAGAAATTGATTTTATCTCCCTGCATGAGAGATGGAGATCAGACAGGCTCATTTTGGTATACAAAACTATAAACATTTATTACTGGAATGAAAGTAAAAACAACAAATATGGTCGTCTCCGTCTGCCTAGCACTGACATAATGGGCATAAATGTGACAGGTACACTTTCTACAACCATACGTGCGATTGGTGTCATAAATACGCGCCATCGCCCCTCACAACCATGCATGTTAAAAAGTTTAGGCTTTTTTTAGTCAATTAGATCACTACTTTATCAGTTAAAATCGTTTTGTAGCACTTATATAGGAATGAACAATTTCAAAACAAGCCTGGTTCTCACAATCATTTACGTTCTGGTTCCGTCAAGAACTGCTCAAATATTGTGGAAATCGTAGGGGATATTATCGATGGCACGGATTCGTTCTTCCTTTTACAATGGCCAAGAGAAGAAAAAGTGTTCTATATTTCCCAAGTAGTATTAGAAATATAACGGTACTTGTTTATCATGTTTGGATAGATGTTTTAAGCGAAGAGGAATCTTTAACATTGGCAGGTACAGTGTAGTTCATTCCAATCGCGAACTGTCAGTGGGACAAAGGCAGATTTACAGGTTTCGGTGTAACAATGGACAGATCTTAGAGAGTTGGTGTCTGGCAGAAAATATGGATAAATGTCAGATATTTTTTTTAGGTGGGACGAGAAGACATAAGTTTGTTTGTTTTTTTTTTGTTTTGTTTTTTTTTTTGGGGGGGGGGGCAGTTTGTTTACTAGTTTGTAAAATATGGTTAATCCATGCCTATATCGTCGTTGTTTCTTTGTATAGAATTTTGTGGGATGTAGCTTTAACCAAACCTGTTATAGTTCTAAGGGCATCACTGTCAGGTTTACTATAATTTATCATAAATCACACCAGCGTAATCAAATATAGGAAGAATGAAGGATGGTATACATGTACAATTCCTTGACAATTTATATTTAAAACTTCCAAGAACATCTACAAGTTTACCTACTTTAGTAATTATGGCGTTAATATGAACGGTCCACTGTCCTGAGGAATAAAATATTATCCCAGGTTGTTTGTGGTCAGCTGTATCTATTATGTCGGTATTGTTAAACTTAACATGAAACGAAGAGGGTTTTTTTCGTGAAAAAGTCATGCTTTCTGTTTTATTTGGGTTAAATTAACTTTCCAATCAATTGACTAGGTAGATATTCTAGAAAGGTCATCAATAAGACAGAATGCATTGGCACCGTTTACCCAGGTTCACCCGGGTTATCAAAACTGGACGAACCAGGCCCATTTATATGCGCAAAAATCGCAAAATGAGCTGACTACGGTTGGCCCAGTAGTGCCACCGGGGTCAAAAACCGGGACGGTGTGAATGGGGCTTTACGAAGAAGTAACTGTATATGATGTTTTTGTCAAATGTTTTGCTCTTTGTAGTTCACGACTTTCTTTTCCATTATTAGGTCAGGTTATAGGGTTATTTTGAGTATGTATTTCAAAAACTTAACTGCATTGTTGACAGTGATAATTTCCTTTTAAAATGTTAAATGATTTACCCATATAAAGCGCTGTCTCCTGCAGCTTCTTCGTCGGTCGAACCAATCAAAAAACGTTTTTGTGTAAGTTCATACCCAGCAGTCGTTTTTGTTACTATAACGACAGGGTAGTTTGCCTGGGTAACCCATGGATCCATAATACTCGTCATATTCAAATTTTCATTCTGTGCGGCGGAAGCCTAAATATAAAATATTTAAAAAAATATTATGCACCGATAAAAAATACATAAATTTTAATAAAAGTCAGTGGGGTAGCAAGGGCTCTCAGCGCCCTGGTCCCAAGGCGGTTTTGGAGCTCGCACACAAAAGTCATAATTTCGGCCTATTTTTGCTATATCTAGAATAATAAAGGACGAATAGACCAATAAAATTAAATCTTTATCGAATAAATGTTATAACAAGCATAATAAAAAAACACAACACAATCACTGCATGGTTTATACACATATAGCCCGACGTTTCGACAAGTATTCTTGTTTTCCAGCACAAAAATTGTGTTGTGTGTTTTTTTTTAATGTGCTTCATCGCTCTGCTATATGAGGCTCGTGTTACGTACTCAGCCTGTGACAAGTTAACGAACAGACAAGAACAGAATAATCGATTTATCGGTCTTAAAATATTACCCAACAAGGTTCCAAACTCTTCTAATATATACAAAATAAGAGTAATAGTAACATAATATACATAAACCCTAAAATAATTGGTATAATGAAAACGACATGAAACAGGTCTTTATAGAAGTGGGAGGAAACCGCAGGACGCAGAGAAAACCCACGAGGTTGGACAGGCGACCCTACTCCTTGTCAAATACAAGTGGGAATCAAAACCACGCCAATCGACTCAATGACAGACCTTGTTATCTAACGCACTTGCTTTAAACCATTCGACACCCCCACCCCACGTCCTACAAAAAGTTAAAATATTATATGGTGTGTCGTTTACCACCAAAATACTGTCACGCCTATATATAAATAGCAATTATTACTTTCATCCATACAAAATAAATGTGTAAATAATATGAATTAACATTTCAAAATAACCATGAAACGCCTTTAAAACCTTTAGTCGACGACCCGTAAATAAATACTCAAACATTTCTATCTTTGTAATAGAAGGACGAACATGAAGATATCAAGGTGATAGTGCCTTGTTAAAATACAAATGTATTGCTTCATAACGTTTAGAAAATGCTCACCTCGTTTAAACTGTCCCACAAATCTTGATGTTCAGCAACGCTATATTGATGTTTATCTAAGTAAAGCTTAAAAAATAACAAATATACATGATAGTGAGTGAAACAAATATTCATTATTTTATCCAATCAACGGAAAGAATGGAGTATCGGATTGGGCCTTCCCTCGAATATAATATACTTACATTTAATCCTTCAATAAAATTGGCTTGACCCATAATAAAGTGCATCATCTTGACAATGGCCGAACCCTGAAAATAAAAGAAAAAGAAATACAAGATATGAACAATCAAATCAGAGATAATCCCCATTACGTGAGCTTGCCCAAGGTATAGCCCTCAATGGGTATATAAAGTAAATGGATATATAAATCACAATTTTCGTTTTCGTCAATAACTCGTGTGGCCTAACCTGGGAGGCTGATAAATATGGGTGATAGATATTTTGGCATGTCAAACTGTGGTACAATATTGTACATTTTGATAGACATAGCCATCGTACAACTAAAGCTACTTCATCATTAATCTGGATACGAAATGAATATAACAGCAAAATATAATTACATTTATTTTAAAACGGGAAGCCGGGAGTGCACCATAAAAGTGTTTAACAAGATCGCTGTCGCTGTCGGGTCTAAATCATTGCCTGGCTGGCTATATCTGAGTTCTTGACAAGAATATGCCCGGTTTCACCATAGTAAAAAATATAGAATCAAAATTCAATATAAAAGCTGCGTAAATACCTTAGTATATGTAATACTATCAAAGAGAGAAGTTATTTCAGAATTGCTTTCCGCGTCAAAGGTTAAAGGATGAGAAGATCTTAAAGCATCAGTTTCCATTACCGAATGTGTTCCAATAAGTCTTTCTAACTCCTCCTAAAAATATTAACAAATAATGGAATTACTTAATATATAACATTCAGAATTATACCCTTCAATTTCACATCGTCTCAAAAACACTGATTCCATACTTCACCGTGGCAAACAAATAAAAGGGTTGTGTACTCACACTTCTCCACGTAGGATATAGTTCTCCGACGATGTGATAGTCCCAGAAAGAAGCAAAAGCTTCATTTAACCATATCCACTTCCACCACTTGGGTGAGACGAGATTACCAAACCACTACAACAAAACAAAGAATATTTTTATATATTATCCCTAACGATTAGTTCGGAATAATTTTCGATATCTTACATGGTTAATTTCAGTTTATTTATACTCTCAACATAGCATCGATTTAAAATCCCAATTTCGGAATCTACGCACATAATTCAAATCATGAATCACTAAAATGAAACAAAAAAAAAAAGATTGTAAAACTAAAAGCTAAGATCGATGAAAGTAATATTATATTTTTAACAAAAATACCTGATGAGCAATTTCATGTGAAATGACTTCTGCTATCCATTTTTCATCTGATGCCTTCGATGTCCCAGGTATATAAAGCAGACCTTCTCTATATGTTATAAGTCCCCAATTCTCCATTGCACCGAAATTAAAATCAGGAATGGCAATGTTGTCTAAAACCATTGAATTAAAATTAGTCGGTTTCCACTCTGTACTTAAGTGGATGATGTTTATTTTATTATATTGGCTTCATGTAGCCTACTAATATACAATATTTCAATTTAACTTCACGGCATAGATTTTACAGTTTACATGTATAATTCACCCAAAGCTCCCAAACAAAATAGTGATAAAAAATTCTCGAATGAAGAAAACATTATTTTACCTATTTTAGGCAAACTGTATGTTGGTGTGAAGTAACTCTCAAATCTATTAAATATTCTCAATCCATGTTCTTGAGCCATTTGTGCATACTGTATACTAATTGGGCTGGCGTATGTTCTATACTAAATATAAACAATCAACTTTCTATAAATTCAGCTTAATGGATATCGGTTATATACAACTTCCTTTGTGAAATAATTGGCCTTTCAATATTTGAAAGTATTGTATTGCGTATGCCCGTCTTCATTAGCCCAATTCGGAGCAGAACTGTAGGACGTTAATCCCGCGAATGCGGCCACATTAATCATGTCGCCATTGCGTGCAATAAATTGGAAGAGAAAAGACTCCCAATAAGAGGTTTAATGGAAGATGCCAAACCTCAATATGCCACCCAAAATATATTCCCTTGGCGGCTAAGCCAGCTGCTTTAGTAATAACCGAACAAACTGACATTAATGTAGCTAAGTCTCAATATCATCCAAAATCTTCGACATTGAAAACACGATTTATTTGTCGGTTTAAATCAACATTGATGTTGTGATCTTACCGGGAAAGATGGCCTTCTGATATCCAATATTTAAGACAAAATAAACATTTTACAATTGGTACACGAATCGTGTACCATAGTACGTTTCAGCGCTATTTGTAATAAGGGACTCTATAATAAATTATATCGGCGTAGACTGGAATAACCAGACGCTAGAGATTGAAATTCGATTGAGAATACTGGCGTATTTCGCCGAACCCAACTGATTAAAAATTACAGTAAAAACAGAAACGATTGAATGTAAATCAATTTATATACATTCATATTACATTATGTATGCGTTGCGACCCATTTGTGTCAATTTCTAGGTCCCAAATATTAGCGACTTAGTTCCTTTAAGATAGGGAACTACATATCTAGTTACAAATGAAGGAACTATTGTTGTAGGATAGTATGGCGGTTCAGCTTGCTGTATGATTTAATATAATAATACATTAGGGAAAATAATGACAAAAAGAATAAGGACCTACACAGCCATTATTAACAATGACAGTGCATATCAATCAATTTAATTTAATTTATGTCTAAAAATTTCAGGGCCATACTATATACCGGAATACACCGGAAAACAACCAGAAAGCACCGGAAAACAACCGGAAAACACCATTTTATACTGAATACCGGAAAACACCGGAAAAACACTAAATACCGGAAAACATCCTAAATACCGGAAAACACCCTAAATAGGTAACCCTGAGCCTGGTCCTCTGTGTGCGGTTTTGGACCAAGTGAGCGCCGATGAAGGAAGGTCAAGGTCATTACGATGTTCGTTTTACAAAAAGCCCCCCACCCCCAAAAAAAAATTCCGATTTGTTTTTCTCCCAAATTTTTTTGAACAAAAAAATTTTCTGTCACAAAAAAAAAATAATGGAATTTTTCCGAGAAATTGGTTTTACAAAAAAACATTCCGTAGAAAATAATTTTACAGAGAAAAATACTGGAAAAAAAATTTGGGAGAAGAAATTGTTTTAAAAAATCTGAAAAGAAATTTTTCTTTGACCTTAGGCGATCGCTCGCTTGTAAGTTAATGAACTTATTTCATCAGCGCACACCTGGTCCAAAACCACACACGAGGACCAAACTCCGGGTTACTAAATAGCTACCGGAAAACTTAGAAGAGTAAACTGTGCCCGAGATTTTTTTAGAGAGCGCGCCGCGCCGCGCCACTCCGGGAGGGATCATCGTCAGGGTGGGACGGGAGAGAAATTGTCCAGTCACGTGACGAACATAGATCTTCCGTTCCTCAACCCATATTATTTTCACAGTCATTGTTATTAATCACAAATTACGGGATGATATACGAAAATGCATGTTTACTTTGAAATAGTGCAAATGATACTTTTCCATCTACAATCTTCAGATCAAAGGATGCAAGTTCTTATACAGTGCAGCATAATTTGTGCAACAGAAGACATCTCGAATATCGATTGTCGGAAAAAACATTTTATCGGGGACATTTTTTTCCGAATACGCATTCGGTGTAAGTCTTCAGCCACCAGGATGTGGTTAACATAGTAATGTTTTATTACGATAGTAGTACATAAAACAAATTGGTTGCCTGAGGTTCTCGGGGGGAAAGTAGCCTCATCGGCTAAAGTCCTCTATTTCACAAACAAAAACAACAATTGCTTCCTTGAAAATTTATCGATCAACCCTTTTCAAAGACGTCCAGCTTAACACTTCCCGTCAATGCAGTAAGATAGAATATGTAGTTTTCTTATGGACAATTGGGCGAAAGTTGGGGTTTTCTCAAGGAAAACTGGTCAACAAGTTGGGGGGAAAAGCTCGAAAAGTAATCCAGAAAAAAATCCTGTGTGAGGCCCTCGGAATTTGATGGAATATGTTGAATATTATTATGGTTCAAGTGATTATATTTGACCCTGGAATGAAAGTAAGCCCAGAAACAAGTAGATTTTTAGCCCTTCCAACGAGATGGATAACTCTTGGAAAGGATAGACACTTTTCAGATTACAGCCTGTCCGAGAATTGCGTGGCATCCATTTCGTTTGGTGATTAGCGGTTAAACCTGGAACTTCAACTCGAACTATTCAGAGATTTATTAACTCGCTTTTGATGATACTTGCTGTTTTATGATGCGATTTTTTGTTATCCAGGGAGGAGTTGGCCTAGTCGTGCCTTCCACTAATTCGTACCACCCTGATGCCAGTGTTACTAGTAAGAATCAGGAGACCGGCGCAACCGGCATATAATGGGGCCCTCCGAGGGCAGTGTTTAATCTACTGAAATACTGAAACACTGAAATCTACTGAAATTTACTCAAAACTAAAATTAAAATACAAAATAAAATATGGTCAATGATGGAGGTAGACTGATTGCGTCTTTTAAAGCATTCAAAACATAATAGGCATCCAAAATTTTGGAGAAAAAAAATCGGAATTTTTTTTTTTTTGTGGGGGGGGGGGGGAAGCTGGGGCTATTTGTTAAAACGAACATCGTAATGACCTTGACCTTCCTCCATCGGCGCTCACTTGGTCCAAAACCGCACACAGAGGACCAGGCTCCGGGTTACCTATTTAGGGTGTTTTCCGCTATTTAGGATGTTTTCCGGTATTTAGTGTTTTTCCGGTGTTTTCCGGTATTCAGTATAAAATGGTGTTTTCCGTTTGTTTTCCGGTGTTTTCCGGTATATAGTATGGCCGAAAATGTAATGCCATGTATTATTTCTATAATGTTTTAATTTGTTTTAATTGCTTTATTCTGTGTTGCTGCTTCTTCTTTTCTTTTCAGTTAACGTTTATCTGGAGAGAGTTATACACAAGAAAACTCCAAATGGAATGCCTTTAACTTTCTATAATGTTTTAATTTGTTTTAATTGCTTTATTCTGTGTTGCTGCTTCTTCTTTTCCTTTCAGTTAACGTTTATCTGGAGAGAGTTATACACAAGAAAACTCCAAATGGAATGCCTTTAACTTTTAATCGCTGACGCTGTGAACCGTATTAAAGGACTTTTAACTAACTTTTAACCATATGGAACTTATTGGACGAACAGACTTTGATATGTAAATAATCCACGGGTCTAGCTAAGTGTTTTTTTTACCGCGAGCACTTCGCTTTCCCACATAACGCAAGCGGATTCTTTTTCCCCACGTTTTTTTTCTATTCGCACTTATGACGCCAAACATCAGGCAGCTGGACATCCTGTTTAACCTGTTTTTATTATGACAAATTGAGAAGATTACCGGCCCTCTCTTCTCACGACAGCGATTTTATAAGTGTGTTTTAAATTGACTTTTTGAAAAACAAGGACTTTTTTATTTTGTGTTTTTATCAATTTTAAGGGGACTTTTGATATACACAGACATTTTTATTTTGTGTTTTTACCATTTTCAACCCGTTAAGTGTAAATCTAATTAAATCAACCTGTCCATAATATCATAATTTAATGTATTGGACGTTAAATCTTTAATAAACATCCGTCTTCATTAGCGGAGCAAAACAGTAGGACGTTAAACCCAATTTCATTTCATTTTAATAAACCACAACAACAACAACAGTTTATACACCAGTGTGTATGTCGTCGTCTTGAAATTTCCAAAAATCTGACCAGCTTATATAGTCGCCGTGATTACGTGGTAGAAACGCGCATGCAGTCGCGATACACGTGGTAAGAACCCCATGAGCGTGGATAGAACGCCGCGGGTTCTCCAATGATCGCCGTTGCCAAGCCAATAGAGAACGCGGTATACTCGCTCAGATCGCGGTAAGAAAGCGACTTTTTTTCGCACTGTGTTCACGTTGGTCGGCGACCGTGTACATTTTCTGGTCACCGTACAATCGCAGCAGCGCAGTAAGGACCCCACACAGATCTGACGTCGACATTGCATGAACGGTAATCACAACAGTATACTTACTGCTATATTGGTGTCAGATATGTTCTCCGTATATTCATAATCACAAACTATAAATGCTAATAGATAGGTTGGCATTACAACAGATGTAGCATAATAGTCAATGCCATAATCTCCACTGAAATAAATGGATAAAAATCCTTAAACATACATTATGTAAGAGCTAAATCTGCCTATTGCAGGTATCTCTTTAGGCATGAAATGTTATATAAACTATTAACATGACAAGACCATAAGCAACTCTCGATGTCATCGGATATCTCCGATATTAAGTAGATTAGAACGGTTCATCATATTTTTAGTTAATTTAAAAAAGGAGAAGCGATGTTTGGCTTCAAACAAAGAGCAAGGTGGTTACAATTTGCACATTTAATGTTTTATGGCGTTAGCTTAATACAGCTTTGGGGTAGTTTATACTAAATCATCAGTCGTAGATTTAATTTAAACTGCTTTGCCTCGTAATCCGGCTATATGTTGTGTTATAAGATTTGTGACAATGGTGCATTTTGTCGCACCATACCCGTCACAAGAGCCAGGTTAAGAAATGAGATTGAAATCTCACAGACATATTCTTATAAATACATGACGTAGCCCTGTTAACATACTGAAAATAATGAACATGTTTTACATCACCTGGTAGAGTTATTTATAATGTTCATATTAGAAAGTGTGATATAATTTCGTCCAGTATTCAGCCTTTTTCGTAAAGTGATGTCAAATGTAGCTTTTTGTGCAGGTTCATCATAACAGGGAAATGCTCGTCTGGCATAAGGTGCTTCAAATTGTGTTGTGGCCAAATATCTGGAAATGTGAATTTATGAAATGTTGTAATTCTTTATTTTATGCACTGGTCGGAATTATTACATAACATGACATTTCAATGGCTTCCCGTAACCAGTGTAAAATGGCTGGGGAAATATCTATGTGATGTTACTTCATATTACTAGCCAAAATATCCCACCATATCTGTTTTAAATAAAAATCAAAACATTTATCTGTAAGCACATTTACCAGGTCAGTGAAATATCCCGATAAACAGATCGTCAGGAGTTATATTAGACGAACTACACGGTCGTCGGTTTCAATATACACTGTTCATTTTAGCTATGCTATAGCCAATTTAGTTAAAACACAGATCCTATTTCGTTTCGTTTTTATAGTTCAAAATTTCGTTTTACTTGTCTTTACTACACTTAGATCTGGAAGAGTTGTTATTTAACTCGTGTTCTGAATGGTGTCAGGGATAAGCCAATGAAACAGTCTGTTACGGCGAGCTTTAGGCGTGTTTTGCACGGAACTGTGGGTAATCCACTAGTAACATCAATGCTGATTGGTTAATCAAATGTCTGACATCATAGGGTCATAAGTCGGTCTTTTGACCCCTGACGTGACCTATAACTTGTCAGATCTTCATGTGGTGTAGGCCATCGAAAGTATAAAAAAAAACGAAACGAAATATGGATCTGTATTTTAATCAGATTGTGCTATAGCTTATTAAAATGTTCTATAAATAAAAACACCGCGGACTGATGTCTTTCAAAAACCGTTGAATGCATTAAAGAAATTCATAGTTAACTACAGCCTAAATAACTTACACTGTAGTTGTACCATCCATGTAAGAGCTCAAGTACAACCCTGTTCCATCACCTTGTAAAGGACCTTCGAAACTTATAGACACCGAAAAGTTTGTCCCAGCTATCATTGATTCTGTTAATTCTATAATCAAAAACTGTCGAACTGTATCATTACGGTACGATCTATATAAATTAACAGTGCCACCTTCGCGGAGCACTTCAATGGTCGGATAGTTTATATCTAAACGATGGGCATGCAGAGTAATTTCCGTTGAGTCTTCAAGGCACTGTATCCAAATCTTTACACTTCCCTGGAAATTAAAGGCTGCTGCATCACCACTGTACATGTTAGGCTGTAGATCAACATTATAATGATATGGTCTGGTGTTGGTAGGGAGACGATAGTCGATGGTAGGAGCCACAGTAGTAGTCGGAGGTGTAGTGGGTGGTGGAGTCGGCGCCGCAGCACACGCGGTACCTTGAATGATATATAATTTATATTTTTCCGAAACATATTTTCAAATTAATTATGACCTTATTTATCCATAAAGATGGCGGGATATAAATCAATGTAAATTTTGAAAGATCATTATGCAAGAGCCAAATCTGCCTATAGCAGGTCTTTCTTTAGGCCTGAAATGTTATATAAACTATTAATTTGACATTAATTAACTTATCCAAACCATAGTCAACCCCACATCTTATGTGTTGGATTTTCACTGGATTGGAATCTGATCTGCTGCTCAACGCTCATTGATAATTAAATCCAAAATGGATAATCGGGACTGAGCTTTTATCGTACAGACTTTAGTTATGATGATCGAGGCTAGGCTTAAAATATAAATGCTAATATCTGGGTTCAGAGTGGAGCAATTTGAATGAAATTTTCAACATATTCTATTTAGGTTATTTTTTTTTTAACTATTATAGAGAGAACAGTCAACTATTTATCTAATCTCCCATAATCTTTCTTTAAGTTAGACTTGACGGATCAAACATTTGTTTGTATATGGCTATTTAAGAATGTGGTGGTGGTCTTTACATCACAAGGTCTATCATTGAGTCAAGTTGCGTGGTTTCGATCCGACACTGGTACGCAACAAGGAGTTTTGTCGTGGGTTTTCTCCGGGCCTTTAGCATGTTGATTCTTTAATACAGAATTAGAGTTCTTATATAAAAACGTATGTATTGCCAAATAATATTGACACCATTTTTAGTGATCTTTGTGTCAGGGGCGTTGTGACCGCTGATGTGGTAAACACTTCAGTTGAATAGTCCGTTGTGATTTGTGTGTGTGGGGAGGGGGGGGGGGGTCGGGGACTTAACGCATGCGCATAAGGCCTGTAATTGATTCAAGTTGCGTGGTTTCGATTCCTCGCTTGTAAGTGACAAGGAGTAGCGTCACTTTTCTAACCTCGTGGGTTTTCTACGTGCCCTCTGGTTTCCACCCACTGCTAAAAATCCCCACGCCCAATCGAATTATTGAAATAAATTGGAACATTATTTTAGTCCCGAAATGACCTAGTTTGTGTCGAGTGGACGTTAATCTCCATTTTCTTTATTTCTCTGTTGTGATTCTTAAGGCCTAAACAGTGATTATTTTAATCAACGTTTCGGTTACGAACCATAATATACTTACATATGTCTGTGTTCCCTGTTGATGCCCATTCTACACACATAGCCATTATGGTACTATTGTCCAATGAAGGAGTCGGACTGGTCGTAGGTTGAACTCCACCTTGTCCGTCCGTGACGCCACCATGATCACTATCACTGTGACAGTGACAGATAACCTCACCTGGTGCAGCTAAATGAACTATTAAACCAACACCAACAGAAATTAAAATAGCAACCAAAACCAATATAAACCCGGTGCCTGTGCTTACAAAAAAACCGCCATCAACTTTTCCACTTTTCGAGGAATAATTCTCACCACCATTCAAATCTGATAATCGATACGATGAAGACATTTTGCCTTGTCCTTTTCCCGTTTTAAAACTTGTTTTTCAACTGCTTGGATTCTAGTTTCTACTCCATCGGCATAGCCCCATCCACTCCGATCTACAAATCCCGGATTAATGTTGAACAATCTTTATCAATGAATATTGTAAATCTGCCAGAGTAACAATTTATAACTGTGTTTATCAAACAGTAAAGGGTTATTATTATGGATCATATACTTGTTTCTGTATTTGGTGGACGTCTATAAAATAAATTTGGCGAGTCCACTTAACCCGATTGAACCCCAAAATGCAAGTCGTCCTAGCTTTATAGAATAGAATAGTAAAAGATGCCAAAAGAATCAACATTATTTAATCCGAACCTCAGCAAAATGTTTTGATTCTTCACTTAAATAAAAGAGGACTACTTTGTATAATTTTTCATGTGGACGTATTAATGTGGACGTATTATGCCGCCGCCCCTGTTTGTCCGAAACTTGAAATATAGGTCTATCTCCCAGAGATCTCGGTTCGATATGGGCATGACCCCTGGTTGTACGAAAAATCACGTTTTTAGCTTGTGGACACTCTAAAGATCACAATTTTGATCCGACTTTGATGAAATTTGAAATGCATGTTTATAACCCAAATATCTTGTTTATTTCGATATTCGCGCATATCGGATAGCTACTTCCTGAATTATGGCCCTTGATTGTACGATTGTTGAGTTCGAATTTCGGACCAAAACTCTTGTACGCAAATAGTGTCAAAATACGGTATATCAAGGTTGTGGATCCTCTAGAGGCCACAGTTTTTAACATAAAGATCTTGATTCATTTTGATAATCACACATATCAGAACGTAACTTCCTGGATTTTTTTTTAGCCTGTGGATTCTCTAGAGGTCACATTTTTTTCCGATTTTAAAAACCGTTTAGATATATCACCATTCCACCATAATGAAGGTTGAATTGGAATTTCGGGAAAATTGAAATGAAAGTGCCCGACAGGTGACCCTACTCCTTGTCACATATACAACCGGGAAATCGAACCACGCCAGTTAACCATTAGAATTATGTTGTGTTTTATACATTTGTTCAACAACTCATATTAATAGCAAGAATTTCCATGCAGTATTTTATCATGTTCATCGAGTCGATGCAGTATTTTATCATGTTCATCGAGTCGATTTGTAAGACCAAATTTTTACCGTAGCCGAATAATGCCTATATTCAGACATATTTGTTTGAACTATACTTTAATTGTGTGCACTTATGTCCTGGTCGTGCAAACAAAAGATAGAGTGGATTGAGGAATAAATGGCGGCAATAATACAGTAGGAAAAAACTGCTCTGAGCAATGGGTGGGAAATCTTCTTTCAATTTATTTCTGAAATACGATTAGATTGGCAACAATAACTATAAAACATGGCATTGAGGATTGAGGGATACTACTTGATCAGGCCTACCAACACTCTTAGTGAATATGTTTCATAACGAAAAATAAATCATTGAATTGATTGAATACAGATTCCAGTTTCAACTAACAATTTAAGTAAGTCCTGAATCAACGACTGTAGTCGAACATACTAAGTATGATTTAGATAATTTTAAAAAGTACATGTATTTATCCTGCTTCCGTTTAATTAAATTGAAAAGTTTTAGCCTTTGTGTGCATAACAGATGTAAAATCGGGTAGAACCGCATTACAAAACATTATACTATCTTGTTATCATTATGACAAGGGGTAAGATGGCCCCCATCTCTTCTCACGACAGCAATTTTTTAAAAACTAGACTTTCTGAGATACAAGGACTTTTTAATTTTGTGTTTCTATCCATTTAAGACCCCTCCCCCTCCTATTTATAATTTGAAAAATATATAATTAATTGATTTGCGTAATACCGGGTTCGTGCCCTTTACTTTAATACTGCAGGGATTTCTTTTTTTTTTGGCGGGGGGGGGGGGGTAAAGATTGTTGATGTTCTGATCTAAGGTGTAGAAAAAACGATTCATGTTTTCTTTCCACCTTTATATGATATAGTGGCATAGTGCGAAAAGATAATGATTCATCTATAGGACTCAGCCAGTATGCTAAACCTTGTGAATAAACAAGCAATATCATGATATTTGTTTCAACGAATGTGACGTCCATAACACGTTACACATTTCAAGGGCCTTTACTCTTAACAGTAATTATCGTAAATCCTAATCATATAACACACTTTTTACGGAATAACAATTACTATTGGTTATTACACTGCAACGTTTCAACAAGATTTCATAAGTCTTTTTCAAGAATACATAGTTAAAATAGAATGAGAAAATATGAATATTATATAATATATACAATGAATTAGTTGTCCATGCTAATAGGAAGAAACCAAGTACATCCATCGTTTAAATCACTTGAAGGATTTCAGCATAATTTTGATATACCTAAGGTCGTCAATTTTCACGTTTATTTACATAAGAACAAGGTGACAGATAGGTGCTGACTAGATATGATCTGAGCTTTTTGACTAGTGGCTAGTGTGGGGGTTAAAAACCTGCATGACAGAAAGTTGGGTTCGATCCCTTGGTATGCTTTCTGAAATGTCCAGCACAGACCTCGACAAGATTCCCAATGTGTAAGGAATGTCGATGAAAAGAATTATTATATGACCTCGAAAATACTTTAGATAATAGAAAAGATTTTGCATAGGGCAAAGAACACTTTCTGTTTTTCTAAAGGTTGTATTTTTATTCTGCTGCACTACCCGCTTGCGTATGTTACCGAAATCATTTACATATAATATCATATATTACTGTGTTGTTAACTTTGAAGATGTTTTCTATACTGGGATATGAGACACATTATTTATGACAAAGAGGCCCTTGAATATAATATAAATATAGCTATATCGTATTTTGCCATTTAAAGTGTTGAATAGCGGTATATTCAGTTTATCAACATCTATATAAATCACAGAGACAGGTTTATATGTGACATTTGTGTAAGATGGTGTTCTAGGCAAGACGTCAGATTTACACACCGATTTCAACTAATTTATACTACCAGCAAGCTCCGCCCAACAATACATTTATGCATGAAGCTAAACATTGAGACAATCTAGACCCGTAGAACTGAGGTGCGGTGGGGGTCAGCTCTCGATATGGAAATCTATCGCCACCCTTTCCTCCGTGCACATACAGTGGCACTTGCACTAGTTTTTGCTCAATTTAATGTAACGCTGCCTAAAGGTACATCGAGCGAATTTTGTCACCCAATCAACCAAGAAAGTTATACCTGTAGAATATAATGGCTGCTACGTTAAAATGTGTAGATTGCCAGGACATACACCCCCACCCTATTTCAGGGCGAGACAAAGTAACTGCATTGTATTTTGGTGCTATTTAGGTACAAACCGACTGTCAAGAAAATATATCTTTAACAAGGTCAGTATTATGTCATGTTATTTTTTTCAGAATTTTTTAATGGATAAGTTTTCATGTTTAGGATAATAAGAGACAGCTTTATGGATAAAATTCATTAGGTTAATTAACTGCAACGTTTCAATGAGGGTACTCTCGCCGTTATATCTCCCCTAATCTCATGATGTAATTGTTTTTTTTTTAATAAAGCACCCCCTCCCTCTCAGTCTTTTGCATGAAATCGTTTGTTGACTGCTGGTAGGTCTAGGCTGCAATGCAACACCATGGACCGTATATAGATGCACAGGCAACGATTCCTGTTGGTTGGATTCTCTGCCGCTCGCAAATCAAGCGATGTGATTTTCACATTGCGGGATTTTATACAGATTAATTTCTCGAACTTCTCCTTAGGATTTAAGGTATTTTTATAGTTACATGGTAATTTTCCAACCCGATAAGTATTCCTATCCGGTAGTGACGAATTTCTCTAGTTTAGAACTTTGAAATTTCCAAATGCAGCAGTTGAAAATTGTGAAATGATCGATTTTAACATTTTTCGTAGTTTTGTAAGCATTATGGTTTTGCATAATACTCCTAATTCCCGCGTGTATGGAGGATTTTAAAATTATGAAAATACAGTTCAGGTATAATACTGTCCGGAATGATGATTAATTGTGCAGCAGTAAAATTTAAAAAAGTGTTTCAGTAGGTTTGTTTTCAACGAAAACTCGACATGTTTTTTTCGGATTCAGATGGGCGCGTCCGAAGTAAACAAAGACGATGTGTTGATACATTTACACCCCCAATCATCAGTTAGTAGTCTATCTATGTATGGGTTGCAAAAAAAAGTAGCAAGGTTAATAAAGACATTATGAATTGATTTCTGTTTCTTTGCTTTTAGGGGGATCACGTGGCTAAGTGGGTAAGACGCTGGCTCACTAGCCTGGAGGTCGGGTGTTCGATCCCTGCATTGGCCGAGAAAGTTCATCCAGATTTTCCGGCTTGGTTCTCCCTTGTCAGTGATGCAGGACGGAGGGCCTGACAAGGACAGCTGCCTAGTCGTTCGGATGGGACGATAAACCGAGGTCCCGTGTACACATTGGTGTGCACGTAAAAAATCCCTTGACAGTTGGAATTCGATACAAGAGTAGGTCAAATGCCGATGTCCGGGCAAAATTCCATCATAGCACACTGTATGGCGTATACCCGTCTTCATTAGCCCAGTTCAGAGCAGAACAGTAGGACGTTAAACCCCATTTCATTTCATTTCTTTGCTTTTAAACTTAATACTGGTAATTGCGCGAGGGGAGGTAATTTTATTTTAGTCATGATTGTCCGGTCTATTTTTTGCCGCGGCACATAATTTTAAAGGCTTCGTGGACGTTGCCCGTTCATCTATACACGGTCCATGGCAATACTATGGAGGTTATTTAAATTCTAGGAAAGGTGATCTGTTTAATATATTGCAGTGGTTAAAAAATGAGTGACAACGAGAAATATGCTAAGTAGGAATTTTGCAAGATTCAAGTTTCTTAGACTAACTCACAGACATTTCCTGTCACGATCAATTGCTGAAAGTAGGGCATTATCGTCCAGTCATCTCGTAAACAGATTAGGCAAATTAAATATTATAATGTTGACCTAAAACGGTGCCCATACGAAACGCTTATCCAAAAATGTTAATTGTCCCGCCCTAAAAGCTGACGTATCTATACTTTCTATATATGAAGGAGCGGGTTTTGCCTTTAGATATCATCCGGCGTTCCTAGCTGTACGTTTAGCTGCCTCGGCTTAGAAGGAGAGAGAGTGAAATGGGGTTTAACGTCCACTCGACACAAACTAGGTCATTTCGAGACTAACATATGGTTTAATTTTATTTCCACAATTCACTTGCGCGTATGGGTCTTTAGCGGTGGGAGGAAACCGGGGGATCCGGAGAAAACACACGAGGTTGGACAGGCGACCCTACTCCTTGTCACGTACAACCGAGGAATCGAAACCACGCCAGTTGACTCAATGACAAACCACGTGCTAACCATTCGGCCATCCAACCAACCCCCCTCGGCTTAGAGGCTGGGATGGAGATAATGTAGTGTTTCAGCCGTTAGCTTTGAGTTCTAGACTTGTAAATATTATAATAACTCATAATGTACTATCATAGATGTTGTAGTTTCCCGTATTTGATATATTAACATAGTTAATGTGATTGTGACATGTTCGGGTTCTTTGTGGTTATGTAGATTAAGATCATAGGATTTAACATTGAAGTCAATGGGAGCGGATTATTAGTCTGAGATCATTAGATATACAGAAAAGTAGATTTATACAAATGATTAATTTTCAGGACTGAAACACGCCAGATGATTGAGATGGGTACATGTTGGATTTAGAAAGGTCCGTAGTTTGTGGAAATGATTAATACTGTTTTGAATGTAATATATTTTATCTTGAGCGCCGGCAACAGGCGAATGAAAGTTGAGTTGAACAAAATATAGATACACCCGCCCCAAATAAACTGGTATACACCACCACCAACAACCATATGTATTAACAAAGGTGTGCAAAGTCCGTGAACCAATAAAAATCCAGGGTTATGATTAAAAATGATCTCCAAATTTGGCAGGGCGGGGTAGAGGCAGGTGTGTAACATACATATATACCAACCGTTCTAAATGCAAAACTCCGGGCGCCGGGTGCTAATGTGTGCAAACTTGATTTAGTCGTTTATGTCGAACACGAAGTCAAGTTTATGATCGAAGATGATACGATGAATATATACCAAACGCAATACATAATGGTACTGCTATCTTACACTTATATACTCTTTTTGACAAGTCTTATCTCATTTTGTTGAATTGTCTTTCGGGTCATAAACTCTTCCTTTGTCATACACGTGTAAATAAACGATAGATTAATCAAAGTGTATAGCACCATAAAGATGTCATAACATAATTTACATTAACCCATAGTTCCTTATCGAATTTAAGCAAAATGTGGATTGAATTTAGGATCAAACGAGAACTCTTCCGCTGCAGTTATTTTTTGTTTTGCTGGCAAAGAAAAAACACCCGCTTCGCCCGAAAACAAAACAAGACAACAAAACACCATTTTCTCTCTTTTTTATTGGCATTATATTTATTATATTATAAATATTTATAATAACTAACAATATTTCATTTACAATTACATTATAAACTATTAACAAATATCAGATTGCAATGCAGTTTTACTTTTAAAATACGGACCTATTACACTTCTTGAAATATGATCGAGAATTCTACTTCAAATTCATGTTTAAATAAAATTCTAATAATATAGCTGGGGTACAAATTTTATAATTTTCCACCTGCTTAAAATTAATGCGGTTCATTTTATTTTTGATGTACCCTATTGTACAATAAAGGAAACGAAATTGCAATCCAGTAGATTTGATTTTGTGGCACGTGAGTGTAAAGTTACTTTGTAAAGTAAATTCATGTATTTTAGTCCTATTAACCTTCCGAATGTAACTTTTCATTGTGAATCCGAGGCCTGTTTGCCAAAATTGTATGATACCAAAAGGGAAATCTTCGATTCCATTTTCGGAATTCATAAAAAATTATAATAACAATAAAATCAAAGTATTTCCAGAAACAGACCCAGTCTTTTCCAACACTGTTCGAAAATCAATAATGCTTAAAACAAAAGTTAAATAATATCTTTCAATATACTTTAATCACAGTCCACGAACCGGTTTCGTCCAATATAAAATTCTTGAGTACAAGCACCACAAGCATTCAATCTGTAAATGGAACAACAACATTGTCATGCGTGAGGATATTCATGGATGACGAAATGGTGGGGCGTTATTCCAGTGCTTACCAAACCTGGGGCTTATCTCGATCCTTCCTGTCTAAACTGTCTATGTTTCGATAACAACAAATAATTATTTCCTAAACAGAACCACCGCCATTGTGGTAACTGGCTACTTGTTCACACAATGCCGTTCACGCAATGGCTTATGAGACATGTCTTAATCCACCAGATGAAATGCATCCTGCATAATCTCAAATACAAACTTCATTTCTCCCCTCAACCAATAGTAAGACATACTATGAATCCATACAACCTTTGGCACCGTATATCAGCACTAATTTGTCCATAGTATATAATATTCGTTGTGGTCGAGTGGAGAAGGTATAGACAGGACCTATTTAGAATATCTTTGTGCTATCTTTGTGGGTTGCTAAAGGCCAATCGTAAAAACGAGACAAAAAAATGAAGGCTATTTTTTTCTAGGATAATACATTTTTTTACATTATTATCAGCATATTCATTATTATTATCTAACGAAAAAAAGGTTCTTTATTTCATGGAATTAATTATAAAGCCGATCCAGGCTTATGTCAAAATAAGATCAAAAGTGCATGAGATTGGCCTGTAGATAGGCAACTCAACATGACAGACTGTAAATATCAAGGCATATAAACTTTTTATGATTAATTTTTGATAAAAAAAATATATATTGGAAGCAAGATGAGAACAACGAGATTATGCTTGAATAACCCCTAATATCACAAAGATTTAATAGAGAGGTGTATAATTGATATTTATCTCCTTGTAACAGAATTATATCTAACCATACCCGATGCGACTCAAAGGACACAAGATATGGCACCAAACCACCGGGTTACCTCACGACACCATGAATCATTAGTAACTATACTATTTATTGACAATATAGATATACTTACACACATCTGAGAGGTGGCATACCAGCATAACGGCTCAGATTATTGTGGTATCTTTTGCAATAACAATATCCCTTCTTCCAGATAGTTTGGGCTGCATTGTAGTCACCGCAATTGAGTTTCTGAATACCGCGAATACATTCTAAATATAAGAGTTAAATTGCATGGGGATAAAATATATGAATTTAAAGGCTCGATGCGTCATTTGTATTTTCGCCTAAAAATAAAAAAAAATCGCACGGCTCAATATTCGCTAAATATGTACTCAGATTAATTATTTAACATTTAATTAAGAAAGAAATCGAAATACCAACTCTAGATAATCTCCCGATTCAATCCGTTGTAAACTAGGTCCATCTAGTTTCTCCGCTGCCAATAAAAGATAGTAGCGTCTTGTTACGCTCGAGTAGCATGAAGATTAAATTTTCAAAATATTGTAGTTTGAAAGGGATTCCTATATCGCTAAATAACGCATTGAGCCTTTAAAATATTCAGGCATCCAAGACAACCCTATTAGCACCCGAAACTTTGAGCACCAATTGTTAATTTGGGAAAGTGTATTGGCTATGTGAACCTTCTGGTGATTACAAACAGTTCCATAATCGAGAAATCGACTTAGTTGGTGAATAAAATGTATTAACAGACACAATCCATGTACCAGGAGTATTATTACGAATTGCAATTTTGTTTTTGGTTTAAACTGTTGACTATAGAAAAACAAAATCAGTTACATCTGCACATTGGTGGACACCTAAAACAAAGAGATCAAACGTACCTGGCACCTTTTCTATGTTTTTGTCACGTAGCATTCCCATAACAGCTGAAAAATACAATTCAAGCACAATATATTACATAAGATCTTGAAAACTCCCGAATATAATTTTGATAGTTTAGCATTTAGAAAATCCACTTATTGTTTACTCGATTTCGTCTAACGTTTTATGAACGTATTCCTTTTTGGATCATACGCGTATAGATGAAGACATGTTTCTTCAACACTTGCGACTGATTATCAGCTGTGAAGGTAAATGTTTTTCTGCAACAGACATTAAACGATCAAGGTAGTGTAGTACTACTGCCTTTCTTGTTGCATCAGGCGTTAACCTATACTACTACTGTCTCTCTTCCAATCTGTCATTTGAGTTTGATTCCCTTTAGGATTTTTTTGGTCAATATAGCCCAGTTGGAGCTGACGTGCTATAAAACTCCATTTCATTCATTCATTCATTCATTCATTCATTTAGGAGTTATGGTAATATATATTATATATATACATATACATATGTATATTAATACCACTATTATAAATTATTTGGAGAATTCTATGGAGAACTGATATGCATATATATACTAATATTTGTGGCTGTCTTTCTGTTCAGGGTTTGTCCCGGGGCCAATATTTGGTGTATAGTGATAGCTCGGACCGGGGAGTAACACAGACGAATGTAGGGCGAAAGTTATTTTTAGTCTTTCTCTCCCGTTACCCCTTTTCCATGGCGATTTTGTTGACTTTTTGGTGTAGAATCGAAGAAAGGGGTTTGAAAATACATTTTCTGCTAGGTTTTGGTGAATATTCATGATTTTGAGGCGAAAGGATACAAGAGTTGAGAGGTTGGTTAGGTTGAAATGTAGGGCCGAAAATTGCATGTTTACTTGTCTCTACTTCCAGCTTGTGTATCTCAAGTTTTTCATGGTGAACCTCATATATGCTTTTGGGCAAAAGTTTGCCACATGTTGCTCCATTTGTGGCAGAAAGCGTTCTACCCAACGAAAATTTGGGAAAAAGTTAGATCCGGTATAAGAGACAAGAATTAACATTAAAGTCAATGGGAAAATCATTAGTGATTTGTGGCCGTCTACCACTGTCGGTTTCGGAGTTATGCTACTTCCGGTTAATGACTATACCGTGCTACGCCAGATCAACCGCTAGTATATATATAAACACTACGATATGTTTCATAAATGTATTCTAAAAACAAGAATATTGGTGTATAATTATGTACTTACCTTGTAACGTGTATTTATGTTGGTTTTCTGAAATAAATGCGATAATATAATTACATCTGTATTTTATTGCATTCCGAACTATAAGATACACGAGTTATATGATGATTGTGCAATCTAATTGTGCAATCCCACATTCCGTCGTTTGGTTACTAATAGCATCCTTGTATAACGGATGTGTACATCGGTCGCTTTGTTATATGTAAGAAAAAGGGGCAGAAATATTCTGGTCTCAATGTTCGTGGACCGAAAAGAAGGATTGTTCAGGCTTCGGTTAACGATCCAGCAGAAAAAAGGGATGAAATAAACATTAAGTATAGATATAAATTTAAGATAGCCATAACTTCCGTCAGATTTAATAGTCTTCGAAATAACATGCTTTGTGGTAAGACTACTCTATATTGACCTTTCAATCTGCATAACATTTTTAACAACTTCAGAACTTTATTATTATGTTTAATTTAAGAAGGTGACAAACCCCAACGTCCCCCACCCACATCCACCTCTGTTGAACTCAGAGTTGAGCTTCTGTGAATATGCCTAATCTGTTTCACCGTACAAGATGACTGGCCGTTAAGTTCACGTGCAGCATAGGTCTATGTGCGATGTTATAGCCTAACACTGGCACTGTCTACAGCGGACGTTGTAACACAAATTGACCCGTGCGGAACTGGTGCCTTTTACTCATTCACACTAAATATATATGTTTTATCTATATATATACTTCCAACACGTTTTTTCTTCATAATTTAAACAAAAATATTTTAGTATTTAACTTGAAGAAGAAAATAAGTTAATATTGAGAGCACATCCCTTTCAGAGATAGTAGCGGCCAGGCGAATATTTACTGCTGATCAGTTTGGAATATGCATAGTCTCTACCATGTTACTATATCGTTTCTCCTGCCCTTGTTTTGTCGTGCAGTTATCCTGCATTGTCTCTTTGCTTCCTGTTTCTAAATCAAATATGTAGAAGATAAAAATAAGAAACTTACCACCGTTCACTGTACACAACTGGGGCTGGTAGAATGTGGGTACACACACTGCCATAGTGGGATTCCCTTGACCTTGCATACGCAAATTCATTGAATTCATCATTACTTGACTTGCCATTCCAGGGTTTGGCATTCCTAATCTCTGCATTCCTGGGCCTGGCATCTGGTTAGGCCCCGTAGCTTGGTCGGTCATTCCTGCGTTAGGCATCCATAGTTTTGGCATTCCTGGGCTGGGAATTCCCGAGGGGGGCATTGCTCTATTAGGCGTCCCCGAACGGGGCATTCCTGGATTAGGCATTGCTGAATTAGACATTCCTGGGTTGGGCATTGCTAAGTTAGGATTTCCTGGAATAGGCATGCCTTGGTTTGGCAATGCTTGGTTGGGCATTTGACCTGGCATGCTCATCTGACTGAATTGCGCGAAAGGTTGTCGTGCAGATTGTCCCCATATCGCGGCCAGATTTGGTGGCTGAGTTCGGGGTACTTGAGTTGGTTGTGTATTGGGATTTGGACTGAATGGAAACCGGTTCCCTGTAAATATAAATAATTATAGAAATAGTTGCTCTATTGTGATGTGAATTTCAGAATTGTAATATTGATCCCCAGATATTTCTAAAAATACACGTGTTTGAATGAAGCAATTATATTGGCTTTTGACCATGTTTTTTTCTAGTTTCTGTAGCTCAATTAAAATGTTCTTTACTAACACACATCGTATATAAAAGTCATGGACCGTAAAACATCGCAAGATACGATAAAATAACACATTAAAAAAAATGAAATAGGTCATAGCACACAATAGTTTTGTATTTGTTTATACTGACTTAATTTATAAATTCTTATGCTCAGTTAACTGTTTATGACAACGATTGACATCACAATTCAGATCCGGAAGATGGCATAGCTAAAAACAGTTTACACATTTACTATTGCTCTCAACTGATGATTTATTTTATAATATTATAGTTTTTTGTCTTTCCTTGTAAATAATTATTCAAATTTAAGATGTTTATAAGTATTTGAATAAGAACAGGGATGAAGTTGAAGAAAAAATCAACGAGCGGTTGCCAGACAAGATACGCCCACATTTTGTAAGAGACGGTTAGAGAACAAGCTAAAAACAAAAGCGATATTTCATACAATTAGGGGTCATAATCCAAAAAGTTACGGTCTTAAATGCGCAAATATCTTTGGGATATTACGATATATTTTGAGTTTCGTCAAAATCGGATAAAAATTGTGACCTCTAGCTTCCATTTTGTCGGACAGTTCGTTTCGATTTTCCCCTTCATTATGGTGGAATAGTGATATATTTAAACGGTTTTTAAAATCCGACCTCTAGAGAAGATACGGTCTGATATGCGCAAATAGCGAAAGCAGCCAAGATCTTTGGGACATAAGTTTCATCAAAATCGCATAATAATTGTGACTTCTATAGGGTCCACAACCTTGGTATGACATACTTTTACACTATTTGCTTGTGACCGCTAGAGACTCCATAAGTTAAAAACGTGATTTTTTGTGCAATCAGGGGCCATAATCCAGGACGTTACAGTCCGATATGAGCAAATATCAACAGGAACCACGATCTTTGGATTATAAACATGCATTTCAAGTTTCATCAAAATCGGACATTTTTTTTTTTCAAGGCAAGGACAATGATTCAACAAATAATTGAGGAATGCTGTTTCAAATCATACTCATCCGAAATGTTAAGGACATAAAATCACGTTTAAAAATGACTCATAAGCAAAGATAAGCGTATTTTGTACTCATTTTGGCTACCCGGGGACAATCACTCTGCGAAAAACTGACAAATTTTAATGAACTTTAAACTCACCCAAGACTTCATAGATTGCAAATAAAATATAACGAGTTACACAACAGTTGAATGGATAATGTAGACACTAAAAAACACAACACAATTTATATGGAATACAATCACTGGTTTATACACATATAGCATGACGTTTCTTGATAACGATAAGAGAATACTTGTCGAAACGTCGTGCCATATGTGTATAAACCAGTGATTGTATTCCATATAAATTGTGTTGTGTTTTTTAATGTGCTCAATCACTAAATGCTACTCAAGGATTATAATGTAGACCCTATAGCAATTGACGAATTTGGGTTTAAAGACAAAATAATCCGGGATAACATATTATATTATAAAGCGAAATACCAGGCAAAATGTACTTTGCAACAAACGCTACACACTCAAGTAAAATAATTCCTAAATAAGTGAGAGGTCCGACATCAACTAAATATAAAATAAAAACGGATAAAAAGTTAGAAATATGGCAATTATAATTAATTAAAATCGGATCTACAATTTAGATTGTTGATAAATGACAGACTGACGAACATGACTCACGACACTATACGTACAACCGTCATATATTGAATGTTAGGATGAATGGGGAAGTTTTAAAATTATTTTATCATTATGAAACTGTTGAATAGATGGGAAGAAGGATGATATTTAAAGGCTAAATAGTAAAATACTTACATAGATCTTGACCTAAAATATGTGGAAATATAGAAGAAAGAGAGTTATAAAATGTCAGTTAAATTACAAATATGCAGCAGAAAGTTCTACCTGTGCTGACTTACAAATAAATCAGAAGCGCTATAATCTATTCCTTTATAAGGCTTCTATTACATTGGAGTATACGATATACGTTATTCGGTATACGGTATATGGTATATCTACGTATAGTATACCGTGTAAACCGCCGTGCCCGTATACCGTATACCGAAAACGTATATTGTATACCCCAATGTTATAGTAGCCTAAGGAATACGTGTACAAGTAAAGACAACTGTAACGCTAGATGGGAATACGGGCAAGGTTTCAGTATATATGTTAAACGTCCTGCCAGCACAATACTATGGTCATTTTGTGTCGTACATTAGATAAAATTTATTTTCTAGCTTTACATATTAAATGATCCCAACATCATTATCTATGGATTCCCTTTATTAACATAGTATGAATTAATCTCAGAAAATAAGATATGTACAAACCTTGACATAGAACGGCCAGGAAACCTGAAATATATGAACATAAATAATATTAATATGTCGATAGGGTTTGTCCCCTCATGACTCAAATGCTTCTATATCTTTGTGATAATTATGTTAAAAACTATTGTCTCTATCGGGTTCATGGGGTTTCTGGAAAAGGGTCGAGATTTTTTAGGTATAAACACGTGTTTCAAGTTTCATCAAAATCGCATCATCATTGTGACCTCAAGAGTCGTCTATATGTTCCTCAACCTTAATATTACATACTTTAACACTAATTGCGTAACGGGAGCGACCCTTTTGTACGCAAATTTTGGTCCGATTTTTGCGAAATTTGAATTCAACCATCATTAGGGTGTAACAGTGATATATTCCAAGGGTCCATAAGCTAAATTCGCGATTTTTTCGTATAATCAGGGGCCACAATTCAGAGATCTTTGGGTTCTAAACATATATACATTTCAAGTTTCATCACAGTCGGCTAAAAATATCATCTGTAGAGTGTCCACAACCTAAAAGCGTGATTTTTGGTACAATCAAAGGCTATATTCCATGAAGTTACGATCCCATATATGCCAACATCGACAGGAACCGAGATTTTTGGGAGATAAAACTATAAATATAATATTTCAAATTTCGTAAAAATTGGATAAAAATTGTGACCTGTAGACTGTCCACAAACAAATTGTGAACGGGTGGGCAGGGGTGACGACATTATACTTCCAGATGAAAATGTGGGCGTAAAAAAATCTGTTAAATAGTACAGCCTCTATTGCGTTCAAAACGTTTTCTGAAAAGCGGTAACTCCGGAACGAAAAGTCGAGGAGTGCTGAAAATCAATATAGTTCATCCACTCAGAGTTCGACACTACAGCCTCTATCGATTTCACAAGGCAAAGGGATGATATTCATGAATGGAAAGTCGCGAAAAGCTAAAAATAGATAGGGTTTATCGTCTCGTGACCCCAATGCTTACAACCAAATTAGAAAAAAAATCGTTAAAAAATTTTAGCCCCCCCCCCCTCCATCGCGTCTTTTGCCAAAGGGGTTAACTCCGTAACGCAAAGTCGTAGAACACTGAGTATCAATAGGGTTTGTCCTCTCATGATAAAAATGTTTCACACCAAGATTTTCTGCAAACGGGCGATAACTCTGGAACTGGAACCGAAAGAGGCTGAAATTCAATAGGGTTCCTCCAATCATAACGTCAATGTATCCCACCAAATTTAAAAACAATCTGTTAAAAGCTATAGCCTATATCGCGTTCACAAGGTTTTCGGGAAAAGGGGATGTATGCCCTGGCACGAAGGGTCGTAGAATGTTGAATGTTGATAGGGTTCGTTTTTTCATGACCGTGATGCTTACACCAAATTTGAAAAGAATCCGCAAAATACTGTAGCCTGTATCGCGTTCACAAGCCCAGTGTTTGCGACAGATCGACGGACTGGGTGACGACATAAATGTGAGCGCATAAAATAGGAATTGTTGAACTACTGTTACAGTAAGTGAACATAGTGTAAGACAAGCTGTCACGGTAAAATACTTAAGCATTGTCAGATTTAAAGAGGTGGCTTGTTATTCAGGGAGATTTTTACCGTCGATATTTTAATTGTGATCTCTTGATTAAAGGGTTAAGTAGTCAATTTGAGTACATTTCTGGGGGATGGATTAAATTTCAAAAACGAAAATGGCCATAAATGCCATTAAGATTATTATTTCGTTGAAGAATGCTGGGTTACGGGCCTGTGGGGTAAAAGGTTATTTGACCTTAATTGGACAATAAAAGCAGTTCGAATGACTCTGTCCTTACAGATTGGATTAATTAGCGGTGACAGGAATCCGGGGGACCCGGAGATAACCAACGCGGATAGACAGGCGATCCTTGTCACGTACAATTGACTTAATCACGGACCCTATGATGTAAAGCAGAACGCGTTAGAATATTCGCCCCCTCCCACCCGAAATATAGTTATCATTCTGATAAATTGTGCATCTCTGTGTTATTATGGTATTATATACATTGGATATAAGATATGATTTAAGGCTTCTATTTTCTCAATTACTGACTATTTGATCGATTTATTACGACATATGTTGACATGATTCGTAGCGCATAATAAGGAGCTTGTCAATTATGTATGGAAAAAGGATTCATTTTATTCTAATTCAAAGACGTATTTAGAATCAGATAGGAATATAAATCATGAAATTAGAAAAAAAGAAAGACGTCCCGTTGCGATGGCCAATTCGCTACAAGATCTGTCAACACCTTCCCGCATAAATGTGATTACAGAACTTAAAGTAATTTAATGGGTGGACATTTATTACTTAGATGTGCGTTATACAAAAATAAATAGACTTCGGTGGCATACTACGTACATGTTAAGATAAGAATGATGAAAAGCGGAAATTTGACATTAAATATTATTTTTGAACGTAAATGTAAATGTATGACAGTATTCTTGTTTTTAAACAAGAATACTGTCATACATTTACATTTATGGTTAAAGCGTGACGCCTTTGTCTTACATCGTCGATTATTTTAAGCACTGTTAGTCAGATTTTTTACGATTTCACCACTCAATTATTACACGTCTCATAAAGGTGTAAAACACTTATTATTTGCTGTTTTCTATATCCAGATATTACGGTATTTATTGCACAAAACATTATGCATGCATTATTCTATGCATACATAATTAATTACCTTACCCATCTGAAAATTAAATATTTCCTAGAATATCCTGATATAATTGGTATTTGACTGAATAAACTTTTAATGCACAGGATTCAGATTAACACTAAATCAAGAAACATTAAGGAACGCGGTAAAATTGCATTTTGAGTTTCACTCAGGGTTCGAAACTGAGCCCTTTACTATTAAGAACTTGGGTATAAACTATTTAGGTTTTAAAGCGAAAGGTCACTAATTAATACGTTTAGAAAAACTGATACAAACTTTTTATGCTTAGCTATGTACAAAGGACATTAGTGAACAAACCAAAATAGAAATGTCTGGTAACAAATTATTATTATCTCGAGATACCATGTTTCCCGGAAGACAGATTCAGTTTTAACCATGTTTGTCAGGCGACAAGACACCTAATTGTTATGTCACTGTGAAAGCTACATATAAGCACGTAGCTTTATATATTGGGTAATAATGTTCATTATAAATAAATGTCTATGTTTTGACGGATAACTTAACGTGTTCCGTTATGTCAGCTGTCTACACGAGAAAGTTGACATCATTAATTATCCAATTTCACACGTAACAAAAACTAACTTATCAGAGTCATACATAAATGGAGAGGCAATATTTCTTAAATCTACATTTATTTTAGCTTATATTTAATTAATGTCATAAAAATATATGGACATTTCGAAATATACCTTTAAACGGGCGGTTCGAATCGTTTTTCGATTACACGTTCAGGACGATGGGAATAACATAACTGTTATGTAGTCATGCATTTGTGTTTAGCGTATATGTATATTTGTGACGCAGTTATTCATGTACATTTAGAGAGTAACACAATTGTTATGTAGGTATACATGTACATTTAGCGTATAACACAATAGTTATGTAAGTACATTTGACGTATTACACAATTGTTATGGATGACCGAATGGTTGGTTTAACGCGTGCGCTTTGCTTTAGGTATAAGATCTGTCATTGCGTCAATTCCCTTCGTTACCTATTTACATGTGTACATTTAGTTTAGAGTAAAATTGTTATGTATTCATACATGTACATTTAGATAAAAGAATTATTATGAATGTTTACCTTAGAATATAACTTTTAGGTTGATGCATGTACATTTAGCATACATCATTGTTATTTATCCATACATGCAAATTTAGTGTATATCATTAAAGAGTTATTAATGATCAGAAATTCGCCAGTGTATCTGTTATCACTCGTCACTCCAGTTAGTTATATAGAAGGGTAACTCGTGTTTTCCCTTTGCGTTCGGCACTACCCTTTCTTGAAAGCTTCATAACGCATCTATCGTAGCAATGATTACTGTGTTAAAATTATGTTGGGGACGTGTTTAACCAGTGCTATAACATATGTGATAATGACTGACACAAATATTATCCTTTAATTGTTAATTAAGTATAGACTGTAGATTATACATTGCGGATATAGCATAAACGATTATATTGCTACATACCAACAAGACACGAAAGCTGCAACATTTTGACGGCGCTACTCAACATTCTGAAATAAAACCATAAGTGTAAGACCAATATGGTCAAATAAAACAATTATAAAATGTCAATAAGGGTTGTTGAGTATGCATTAAGGGATGTTTCCGAAATAGGAATTTGTGAATAAAACTGTATCACGAAGAGCACCTGGCAGTAAAAATAGGCTACTGTAGCCAAAGAACCATCGGATTATATCACTTTACCACATTTATTCCAAAACATGTTACTCTTTTTTCACAAATAACTGTATATTTATGAAATTCGTAATACGTATAATCCTTTAATAGTAATTAGCGATTGACAACATTCAATACACAACGACCATCAATATAGAATACAAACACTGGTTTATTATCCATATATCGCAACGTTTCGACAAGTTTTCTCTTGTTGTTTCAAGCACAAATGATTATAAATTAAAACTTGATATATAACTATCATCTGAGTTTGAAAACAATGATAGAGCATTTGTCGAAAAATCGCGCTGTATGGAAAATAAGCCAGTGACTATGTTCCATTACTGTAAATGTTACCCTTTAATTTACTATCATTTGTCGAAACGCCGCACTAAATGTAGAATACACGAATATTTGCAATCCTATGTAAATAATTACAAAACACTTGTCGGGCTATATGTATGATAAACTAGTGATTATATTTCATATAAATGGTCGTTATGGTTCCGAAATAAGTAGCCATTAAAATATAATGTGATAATTATCTAATAGATAAAATTTTCAGAACTTATATTTACCTTTAACTCTAGAGCACCCGTCCTCCTTAACTCCTATGATCTACTGTAGCTAAGAAACTGGACGTGTTATCATGAACTATATATGCCATCTTCATCATCGTCATCAACCTCTTTGTCTTAAAATGTCACCCAATTTGCCTGTGGCATTTATACAACTTTTGACTGATAGCTTTAAGAAAATATGGACATCATTATGACCACGTAAATGCCGAATATATAAAAAGCAGTTGAAGAAGAAAGAAGCCTAATTCATAGCAAACCTGTCAAAAGCGACGTCATGACTATGTTGGTCAAACTACCACGAACTATAGGAATATGTCACTTACATATAAATTATTTGAACATTATTTTACCCACCGTAATTCGTTTAGGATCGTGGAACTACGCGGACATTGAGAATTGCGTCAATGATTACCTGTTGTGTAATAGCAGATGATGCTCCGATGGTTTTCTTGTTGTAAGACCAGGAAGCTAAGAGTCTGATATATGGATTTAGTGATGACGTGTAATTGTCATGTCCTAATGTTCGTGTTGACTAATGTTTTTCCTTTAGTGTTGTGTACCTGTAAAATTCGTTTTCCAATGCATGAAACGCACACACCTATGATTTCAGATTACTTAATTACACGAACCCTTGCTTCAGTTGAATCATAAGTTCAAACATAGTACCAACTACGAGTTCGAAAAATTCCTTCATTTGGCTAAAATGGTAAGCGGTTAACTTATCCTTGCCGGAACATCTGGAATGTCTCACATTTTATACGCCTACATCCCCCGTCCGTCGGTTACACCCACGCCATTGAGTTAGATTTAAAACTGATTTTGCTAGTAAGTTAGAACATCTGGAATGTCTCACATTTTATACGCCTACATCCATCCGTCCGTCGGTTACACCCACGCCATTGAGTTAGATTTAAAACTGATTTTGCTAGCGAGTTAGAATCGTGTGTAAAAATGGTCATTGACTGCTGCGATTGTTGATAAACACAATCTACAAATTCTTCACTGTTTTTTGTCGTCAGACTTTTAGGAATAATTAGTAATGGGTTAAAGATGGTCATTAAACGTCGGTATTGATCATTTCGTAACAGACATCAAGGGTTATTGGTCGGTCGATTTCAATCACACTTTGAGGAATCGTTATTTTGGTTTACAAATGATCCCTATATCGACTTGGAGTTTTTTCGTGAAAAAGTATTTCCAGCGTTATTGGCCCTGGCTGAGCTGACTGATAATAAACGCACATTGCCGTTCTCTTAATTTACAGAGTTAAATATTTCAGCAATGTTCAGTACATTTGCAAGTACACCGGTTGTTATTGATTCTCTCTCTATGTTGAAATACTTTCACCCTATTTTTTACTCACTGTTCATAAAATCTTGATATTTTTAACAAGTTTACAGGGCCTTAATATCAAAACCTTGTTTACGCAAACAGGGAGAAACTCAAGAAATGAAGGGTCTTATTAGGGCAGCAAATTCGAAGCATTTACTGCGAATTTAACACTTTTTCTCCGTACCACCATTAACTAAAACCCTAATACTGATAATCAATCTTATTTTGTTTCATTACCAGGTAATCATTAAAATCATATTCATATCACCCTATCCCGGAAGCAGTTTTATATATGCGCATTAAGTTACTTGTTACTGTATCCAATTATTCAAATTAATCCCTTTATGGTTGTGTATGATGTCTGAATAAATACTATTTAAATCAATTACTGTGAATGACTAGGATATTTGTTAACCTGAGTGCATACTATACACAGAAAAAAACAATCTTAAAATCCGAATGCTTATGCTTATTACGTAAATATATGCGAAAGTAAAATGAAAATTTTGACGTATTCTGTCATGCTAGTGGAGCACGTAACAGACCTACGGTGCAAGGAAAGCATGAACCCCCTGCGTCATGAAAAGCACGTTTTGGGAACTCCGCTATTGCACCCAGGAACTTTTTAAAAGCTGCAAACGCATTACGTAACAGGCCTACGGCGCAACGAAAGCATGAACTCTTTGCGTCATGAAAGGCACGTTTTGGTAACACATCTATTGCATTAAGGAACTTTTTAAAAACTGCAAGTGCAGCACGTAACAGGCCTACAACGCAAAAAAAAGCGCGGAGACATTAACGGCTTAATAACGTAAAGGAGACGGTGCAGCTCTTTTGAGACCCGTGCGACGTTCTTTTGCGTCAAGTACTGTGTTGAAAAGATAATTTTTAGTTCACAACCGCCTATCCCACAGAACTCTTCGTAATTGGCTCAAAACGGCTGGATATGGCGCTAAGAGACCCATCAGGCGACCGACAGGGCCACCCACTTTGTTACGTGACCATGGCATAAGGCGTCATAATATGGTGAAAAATTCACTTGACGGATGATACAGCACGGGTATGACTATGTATTAACGTGGCACATGCACATAGGAACATCCTACAGCAGTTCTATTCGACTGCCGCTCTATCATGACCCCAATGTTAAACGGGACCTAAGACAGGTCCTGGACAGGGTTGTGGTGCCCCACTTTGAGAACAATCCTCTTTATAGGCGACAACGCTAGTGCACACCTTGAGCTTGCCATTGTTGTGTTAAATGTATTGTTTAAGACCGGTGCAACACGGAATATTGGGCCCATTTATTCAATCTCACAAACGATGTCTTTGAAGTACCCCCCCCCCCCGTCTTCTATCTAGGACGGCATATAAAGATCAAGTTGCAAATGGAACCATAGAATGTCCATGGAATTTGTAATCCTCGTTTGCGGATTTACAAGGAAAACGCATCCATGTGTTCCGATGGAACGGTGTAGGCTTGCATCAGAAGAGTGAGCATAAACGCTGCTGTCTGGGGCAATTCCGTTTTCTCGCGTTGTACAGAGAAAAAAAAACCAAGCGTAAATATTACATGGTTAAATGTTAACGATACAGTAATCCAGTTTCTATTGGGAATGTCACCATTAGAGATATTTAGATTAGTTTTACTGCAGACCATTCCCCCAGTTAACTGGTGACAGGGTATGCTTACCCTAGACCACTTCTAATTTGCGGAGTTTACATGACTAACATAATAATTTTGTTCTACTTTTAAAATTCTATATAATGTCGTCAACTATGTCTGTTCGTTCTTGGAATCATACCAATCTTGAAACTTTCCCTGCATGTTTTCGCAGTTACTAGCCCTGTGGCCCAAACATTGCGAACCGTCTTCAAGTCAGGGTCCCGAGCAAGAACCCCGTCGAAGGAAACATGTTTTTGTTCTTAATATATTTATTGACTTTCAATTCATTGATTTAATATATTTACAGTTTCCCTCGTCCAGGTTTATAGTCTAATAATAGGTTTTATATCTTCTTTGATTGGCATTTAGTAATTGAACATATTAACACAGGGTACAATTTTATGAATACACAATTACTGGGTTTAATACTAAGCGATGTTTCGACGAGGATACTCGATACACAATAGACGAGAGTATTCTCGTTGAAACGTCGCTTAGTATTAAACTCAGTAATTGTGTATCCATTAAATTGTACTCTGTTAATAGGTTTTATCTTTCATGATTTCCAGCTGATTGAATTAATGCATTTATGGTTTCCCTTGCCCCAGCGATCACTCTAGTTCAGGAGCTGATGACGAACTTATACATTGATTCCCATACTTTTGTTCTATTTCAGTGCTTATCCAGTTTCTTTACAGTCTAATGTAATTATACATTTTACATATCTTGGTTTTCTGTACTTATACAGTTTTAAAGTCTGATGATATATTTCACATTTCTTGATTTTCAGTTTATTGAATTAATACGGTTTCCCTCGTCCAGTTTTATAGTCTAATAATAGGTTTTATCTTTCATGATTTTCTGTTTATTGAATTAATATATTATTTTTTATTTTTCTTCGCATCATCGATCACCCTTGTTCACTCATACCCCCATACACACACATTTACACTTCTCCTTAAATTATTGTTTATCTATAATAACTCAGGTTAATTGGTTTCCCATTAATAGTGTTAATACATTGGTCTTTATAAATAATAGGATCCCCCACTCCTTTTTAATTCCTGTCCGCTGTGTAGGTTTAGTTGTAAATGGCACCTTAATCAAAGGTGTTAAGTTTTAATTGCATTTGATTGTTATTTTTGTTGCATATTCTGTATGTTTTGCCCACTATTCATATACCTGTATCATTTGCTTGATAAACACGAGAGTATCGTCGTAGAAACGTCGCGTAGTGTTAAACTCAGTAATTGTGTATCCATAAAAATCGTACCTTTTCTTAATATGTTCCATTATTAAATGCCAAGCAAAGAGAATATATTTACAATAGTTTGAAGGCCAGTGTCTAGTCGTTCAAAAGGTACGATAAAACATGTTCACGTGTTCGTAAAATGACTCTCTACAGTACAAATTCGAAGGGCGTTAAACCCCATTTCACGTATTTGATTTTTGCAAACAAAATTGGTGCAGGGGGAATGGCCGAATGGTTAGCGCGTGTCGTTGAGTCAAATGGCGTGGTTTCAATTCCCCGGTTGTACGTGAAAAGAGGTAGGGTCGCTTGTCCAACCTCGTGGGTTTTCTCTGGGTCCTCCGGTTTCCTCCCACTGCTTAAGACCCCTACGCGCAAGCGCATTATTGAAATAAAATTGAACCATATGTTTGTCCCGAAATGACCTAGTCTGTGTCGTGTGGACGTTAAACCCCATCTCTCTCTCTCGCTGTCTCTGTCTGTCTGTCTCTCTCTCTCTCTCTCTCTCGGAAATTGCTGGTATCCCCTAATAATTCTGATAACAACAGACGGATTGACGGTGATATTAAAAGATGGTATATTATGTAATAAGCCACAGTGCGGAATAGAATTAACACAGACAGAAGGCAAAAATAGGTAAATAAAATAGTTATACAGAGAACAATAAATCAACATTGCACAATTCAGACCAATGCCACATAACATGTAATTCATTTAATTCTAAATCAAAAATAACGGATTTCTGAAGAAAAAAACTAACATCAATTAACAAAATTCCACAGAACAAAAAATGATTATTTTTCAAAACCTTGTTTATTATAAATTAATACCCTCATCTAGATAATAGCTTACTAAAAGCATGAATGTGCATGACAAATAAATAACTAGACGATTTAAACCAAATAAACAATAATGCACAATCCCAGCACTTTCTAATCTACAATCATTTTAGTATAGCTAAATTCAACCCCTCTTTCTTCCGTATAAACCGCAGTCTACTGTCTCTATACCTGCAGGCCCCATCTTGTAATATTCTATTCTACAGCTGCTACCACACCCAACAATCCTGAAATAAATAAAGTGTCATGTAACGGTATGTGTACACATGTTAATATTTTACATGTATTGTCTCAGGTAGACTTTAAAAGGGACGATCGGTTGCCCCAGGGGCATACCAGCTACATAACTTACTTACATCATAACAGAGAACGAAGTAGTGTCGTAATTGCGTAATTTTGGAAAATGGGATTTTCCAGACCAATGTTCAGGTATCAGTGGTAAGCATGGCCCCTTAAGATAATTAATCATCATAGATACAGATTTAAATGTTCAAAGAAAAGTGTATCCGATAACATATATTATGTCACAAACAGGACTGAGAGTTTGTTTATTTAAAATTCTAGATTTCAAATTCTGAATGAGCCCTCTGGGCCATTGTATAATCCGGATTAGTTAAGAGATAACTACATACAATAAAAACAACGAGCGGTTGCTATGCTAGATGCACCCACATGTTGCAAGAAATGGACAGAGAACGAGATAAAAAGTCCTTGAAGAGGTGCTCTTGACTTGACCTTCATTTCATAAAAAGTGCACATCACCAATGATTTAATATGGAATGATCCATCGGATAAAAATTGTCCGCTTCAAAATGGGCATATAAAAAATGGTCCTGGTTTATACAGGTACGTACCTGCATCGTGCAGGCAAATCAAGTGGACAAAGCGGCATCATACATACACAACCCTGTGGTTCTTCTCCAGGTGGACACGGTTCTGTAAAAATAATAACAAATACATGCGCCATATAAAATAAGGAATATGGGTGTAATATGTATTTCAATAAACTGACTATACGCTCAACAACCAAATATTATTGTGACATTCCATTACTTCAGGAAAATAACAAACCTCTTTTACACCACCAACTTGGTTATGTGCGTCATCAATGTATTAGATATACAGATATACTACTATTATTTCCATGAATTTTAGTTTATAAATAAACCATGTAATGTGCCCCTGGTTCCATTCTAGAGACAAAAATTAAACTCAAATAGTATATTATTTCAATTTAACTCTTCTGAAAGCAAGAAAAATCCAAAATGGTCTCTATATTCATACACAATATTTTTCACAAAACCAATCATCCAGATTAATGCAATACTTACCTTGAGGTAAATTACAGTCAACTCTCTGGTTATTTACAAAATATTCTGCTGTGCACGCTTGACATTTGGACATTCTGTAAGAAAAGCATAGAAACATAACTTTGTTTTTCATTTTGTCTGAAGCCTGTTATCAATCACTACAGGCCCGGGACTGTACAGCGCAGTTAACACTTACGACTGGTCCCCGGATCCATTCACTTGATTTGATATATGTTGTTTATTTCTTGCAATGTCCATGTAGGTTTTGTTTTGCGAGTTGCACTTACTAATATATTAATAACAGATTGAGAACACCCATGCACAATCCGGACGAGTCAATGTCACATGCTATAGTGATATAAAATGACTGATCAGAATAATCCAAAGTTTCCTAAAATGGGACGCTACACCTACCTGCAAATAGCATTTGGATGGGCTGGACAACTCATGAAAGTACATGGATTCGTACAGACTGCTTCAATAGTATTTTTGGGACAAGCTGGAAGATAGAATATGGTATTATTTAAAGCATGCTAAGAACAACATCGGTTACTAAAAAACGCACGCACAACAATACAATCGGTGACTTAAATATATGATGCCAAGATAAGTAACTTTACCAAGCAGACGACCGTCGTCAACACAGTTCGCCAAATTGTCTCTGTTTTATAGAAATAAGGATTTATGTCCTAACTTTTTTTTTAATAAACTTTATATTTTTTCACATGCTTTTCACCTGATTTGATATATACTTTTGCTGTTTATTGTTTGAAATGTATGTATATCCTTGTGTGTATTGTCTGCAGGCATGTCTTCTGTGAATGTTAATGTGTGGCGCGGTCCTCCTGCACTTGCTATTAAATATAGTAATCACTCTGTAAAATACCAAGAATTACGTACGTTGACTACAATCTACCACTCTGTCTCTAACATACCATTCGGCATGGCAACTACCACACCCTGTTTGACTGAAACAAGAATTCCAAAATTAACGAATGCTCTAAGCAGGTAGTTTCAACTGTACCGTTAAAGTCCGTAAGGCAGACCAAATAGAACCAAAAAAAAGGTGAATTGAAAGAATACTTACTGACAAACTGCACCCGGAATATGACAAGTTTGCTGGTAACACGGGTCTTCAATACAAGAAGCTTCCATCACCCCCGGAAGACAGGGTTTCGCTGAAATAATATAGATCTATATGTATATAATTGTATATGTTAATTGCTTGTATGGCGATTGGATTTATATTCCCTTATTCATTGACATTTATATTACTAGATTACCCCTAGATACGAACTAAGTAAAATATGACTACTTTATTTCTTTATTTTGAGATTTCTGAAAGCGGTTGAATCTGCTGATTATCAGCATTTAACATAACAGTATGGTAAAAGGCATTTCAGATGCTGTTTTATTGCTAACCTTGGAATGAAGTGGTAACTCTTGCTGCTGACCCAATCGGAACTTGTACAGGATTAGACAGGGACTGTTGATTGTTTATATTTGTAGGGATATTAGATGTTTGAATTCTTGGCATTCCTGGCAACTGTGGGGCTATCGACTCCACTGAAATTTGGGGAGCAGGATTCTCCCCATTTACCTGTACTGTATTCAATACTTTGGGTGTTTCAATAGGTGAACTAAGAGGTATATTAGATGGGAGAGTATCAATAGGCACACTAACTCCTGTTATCTGATTTGGTGTATCAACCGGTATATTGTTGTTGTTTGCGGTAGACGTGGCGGCATCAGCGATTGGTACATTGTTTACAGGCACTTCAACTAAGGAAGGACTTTCCAAGCCCAAAAAAGAGAAAGCACTTTCGGGTTCCTGGGTTGTTTGCGTGTTACTAATTTTCACGGAAGAATCAATTAGGGTGTTAGAGACGCCTGTTTCTGTAGGCTTTGGGTTATTACTAGACGGTAGATTAGAACTGGTTTGCGTGGAAATGAATGTTGGGTCACTTGCAATTGTTCCGACTGGTTCGTTGTTACCTAGGCCAAGGAAACCAAACATTTCGAAGCCACTTTGTGGTTCCAGACCAATTTGGTTGGTTGGATTGCTGGCAGTATCTGGTAAGCCAGTGTCTGCAGGGACTGGGTTATTACTAGAGGGTAAAGTAGAACTGGCTTGCGTTGGTATGAAAGTTGGTTCATTTGCAATTATTGGCACTGGTTCATTTTGAGCTGGGCCAAGGAAACCAAAAATATCGAAGCCACTTTGTGGTTCCTGACCGTTTTGGTTGGCTGGATTACTGCTAGTTACTGGTTCTTGTCTATTCATAACGTTCCGTTCATTAATATTTTCAACAGGGACATTCGTAGATTGGCTGTTTGGATTTTGCACACCTGATAACGCAGTTTGAGAATCTATAGGCGAATGCAAGACAGACGGTAGATTGACATTTCTATTCTGTTCCACTACTGCTTCATTAACAGCAGGATCTGCAAATCCTAATTCGGTAAATGGTGATACGGGTTCCATATTAACCGGGGGTGGTAGTTCGATGGTACCTGGTGCAGGGATATTTACAGACGCCACGCCACCCTGCGAGGGCACGTGAATTGTGACGGCTCCATTTTCATGTTGTACGCCCATTATTCCACTTGTATCCGCTGCAGCGGCTGCCATTTGATCAGGGCTTCCGGCGTTATTGATATTAATAGAGGGTTGTTCATTTGGCTGTATTGTTGGTGAGTTTAGTTGGATGTTCAGTGAAGACGGTACAGTTGGTATACTGGCAGCTGCATTATTGATATCGACATGAGCAGCTTGACCAATACTTGCCGGTTGCATAACACCCTGGTTTACGGATGCGTGTGGACTGAATGATACGGGGGCTAATTTCTTCATTCTTTTCCGGAAAGAAAGGAAGCAGTCGACTTGTAATCCATTTAGAAAATAATCTTCTCCACAATGTCCACAAGTTTCTGGTCTGAAACAAAAGTATTATTTATCAATATCTAGTTACTATTTCGACGTTTCCGTGATTTATAAATCGAAAGAAATAAAAGTTGCTCTTCAGACATTTATTATAGTATTAATTATAGCATTACCTGCATACCGCATTTGGATAATCAGGACAAAAAGGATCGGCACATAAAGTATTCGGACATCTCAGCTCACGAACACCAGGTGGGCACCCTATTGAAATTAAAAATAATTTTCAATACATTATACCAAACCAATATGTTATGGATACGTCATGTGTTAAAATTCCGTAACCTTTGAAACCTTCAATATCCCAAAATAAATTTAGGTTAAAAGTACACTTATGTGCAATAATTGTTGAGAGGAATATCAATGAAAAAGAAAAGGATTCAGTGTGCTCTCAAGGGGTAAGTAGAAGCTATGAAGTAGTGCTAAAAGAATATAGGATAATCTGTGGTGTTTATTATGGAAAATTAGTGATATGATAACAGATAGCAACATCTTACTAGGCACGTCACAGTTCACCTCTTGACCATTCATTGACCATACTGCAAGACATCCTCCACATTGTGTAGTCTGTACACTGAAAATGTGAAAATACGTAGGCGGTGTTATAATTACTAAAACCCAGCTAAAAGATAGGATATTTACCTATACCGAAATTCCAATTGATAATGGGATTTTTTTGGTAGTAATTTAAAGTAGAAGCTCATTGTGTTTAGAGTTAATGTAACGATCTGATCACCGTTTGCTAAATGATAAGGAAGAAAGTGATTGAAATTATTGGAACCGGAACTGGGCCCCACGAACTACTCATCTTGTTTTGTTCTTGGGGCGATGCTCTTCGGAACAACTAGGCCTATACTAAGGCTACGCAAATTCAAGTACGATCAACATGAAATTTGACATGATCATTCCTTTGACAAGACGACTGCGCATCGATTGACGGACTTCGATGTTTGATATGATAGCACATTCCAAAATGTCATTATCGATACCCGGTCAATAGTGCGCTCGTACTTGTTTAATTAATATAGCCAGCTTGTATATTTGTCGTGTTGGAACTGATAAAAATAGAAAATTATTTTTGCGGGAATGTACACAATAACATGTGTTTAATATCCGAAATGAAACAGTCAACTTAGTAAAATCATTAAATCATAATTCCCAGACAATGACCTTACAGTTATATTAATATACATCAAATATAGCATCGTCAGAGAACTGCAAATCTAACTCTTCGCCGATACCAAACTTCTGATTGTGGGACAAATGGAAGGGCCCTGTTGATCGATTTAACAATTCCAGGTATCAATTAAGAAAGTTATTTATTTATTGAACATAATAATTGAATTGAATATTTACCTGCATTTTGCATTTGGATAAGCATAGCACGACTTGAAATAGCAAGGACTAAGGAAACAGTAATACCATTCAGAGGCTGAACACTCTAAACATTAAGATAACAATGTTAGTTAAGCTATGTATTTCACCCAATTACATACAAAATTATAGAAAGAGTTTGTTAACAATATTATTGTGTGGTTTGTAGGTTAATGAAATAACTATTGGGTATTCAATAAGCCTCATTAAACCCTGAACCGTATTAGGTTATTTATTAATTCAATTCCAAAAGATAAGCTTTAAGGCTATAAATATAGAAAATATAGAAAATTTAAAAAAAGATAGCACTTAGGTATAATAAGACAAATTCTTCTTCTTCAGATTCCCTGACCCGTATTTAAAATATACTCTTAAAAAATAGGGGATATTGAAATGCAAATACCTATGCGGGTTGTGATATGATAAATAGTTATGGATACTTGACATGCTTTGAGATTATGTTCACAGATGAAGAACTTATCGCCCCAACAGAACCACTGGGCTGCACATGCGACACCCAATAGCTCCATACACGTGGGAAGGGTTCATTATCAAATTTGACACTTCCTGGAAGGTTTGATGAAAATTGCCTCGTGCTTGTTTATCCTATCCATGTTTGCTTTCCTATCGGTTCTTGCATAAGATTTACTGTTTAGCGTATCTTTGCTTTTTTACTGTGTTACGTTCCATTTGCAATGAGACGTCTTCAACATGATGAATGTCTACGTGCTATTGGCATGCTTCAAATGGATTCTACACAGCTGTGTCACAGTCTGTGATCAGCAGACTGTGGAACCGGTACCAACAAAAACACAATGTTGATGATAGACCTCGTATTGGTCGTCCTAGGGCCACTACACAAGCCCAGGATCGATACATTCGTACACAGGTCCTGCGAGATCGAGGACAAACGGCCAACCAGCTTTCTGTAAACTTGTATCAAGTAACAGGAATTCAAGGTACACCCGAAACGATTAGAAATCGGCTAAATGCAGCCCATTTGCATGCGCGACGATCACGTGTTGTACCTCCATTACCACGTCGGCACATAGCACAGGCGTCAATTGTGTAGGCAGCGTAGAAATTGGGATAATCGTCGATGGGCGCGTGTAATGTTCTCAGATGAGTCCAGATTTACTCTGGATTTCACCGATAGGCGTGCTCGCGTTTGGAGGCGTGTAAATGAGCGTCATGCTAACGTTAACGTCAGACAGCATAACAGATTCGGGCGTGGGTCTGTTATGGTGACTGGCAGAACAGACTTGCATATTGTTCAATTAAGGATGACTGGTGTGTACTACCGTGACCACATCGTGGCACCGATAGTTCTGCCCTTTGCTCAACGTGCAGGTCGACGTTTCGTCTTTCAAGATGACAATGCCCGTGCCTACCACGCTCGTGTCGTGAAAGACTACCTCCGACGTCACCATATTGCCCATATGCCTTGGCCAGCCATGAGACATGACCTTTCTCCTATAGAGCATGTCTGGGACATGATCGGGTGACGTGTTCGTCGACGTCGACGTCAAAGTCAACCGACAACACTGCAAGAATTGGCCGTGGTACTGCAAGAGGAATGAATCAGATAGCTCCAAATCGTGATTGGACGGTTGATTAGGAGCATGCCACGACGAATTGCTGAATGTCTGAGGATTGGTGGAGCAACTGATTATTAAGACAAAAATCAAAAACGTCTATTTTCACTTTTGACGGTGTATCTCTTGCGGGTAAAATCGGGTCGTCAGATAAGCCGCCCATATGAACTGTTTATGTTCATGTGTAGGCAATTGGCCTGTTATTAACATCCACTGGTTACCTCTAATAAAAACAGTAGCGCATTTCCGCAGTTTTGTATTGTTTCTGAATATCCCCTATGTTTTTGAAGAGTATATATCGCGTAATCAATGGATGTAGTGATATAGCTTTACCTTGCACACGGCGTCCATTAATTACATGTCCACCCTGTCCTAGAACACAGAATAACAAACATTAAATACAGAAGGATTTTATAGATTATTTGCTTCAATTAGAATTGGATTGATAAGTAAATATCGCTTTCCATTCGTTAACCCAACACGTCGCTTATCTGTTTTTGGCCGCTGTTTAGGGAACAAATTTATGGAAGTGGACAGCGATGCTACGGTCTCCTTTATTATTGAATTCCAACTGTCGGTTTTTCGCCCCAAACAAACGACCATACACTGTTCATTGGGTCATGCATTACTGAGAAGGGAAAATAACGCTTGGATATTCGAAGACCTTTCTCCGCTAACAACAATATCAAACCCAGGACCTCTAGGTTAGTGAGCCACCGTGATTCCCAGAAATTGATGTATATATCTATACAAATGTCGAAAAAACTAGATGGTATATGGGAACTATTCAAACTAACTTGATTATTGAGGATATGAGGATTTTAATAATTGGTTAAAAACGGAGGACAATTTTATAATAAACACGCCTTGTTACTCAAGGGAGTTGCTTCAGAAAAAATACATGATGGATTAAATCTAAATAACGATAATGGATCAGTTGATATATTTTTTAAAGTTCATCATAAATGGGTTTTTTCACAACCCACCTCATTCTGTACTGTTTTGATCATCGGTCTTTATGATATAATAGAGGCAATGCTTAGACTCTTTTCGTGACGTGACTGTCAGATTAATTGCTGAATAAATCATTGTATGTTGTTTAACCCTATTACTCTTATATTGCAATGAAAACGTAAGGTTGGAAAGGTTACATTAAAAGATTACCATTCATTTTATATCACAGCGTTTTCTTAAATTCAAATACATAATTAAACTAATTTACAAAAGTCCTTGATTTTAAATCAAATTGATATTATATTTATGACATATCATATTAACAAATGGGCGTCGCGGGTTCGCTCCCGGTGTTGGCCGAGAAAGTTCATCGGGATTTTCAGGCGTGATTCCCCGTCAGTGTGCAGGACGGATAGCCTGACAAGGACACATGTTTAGTCGTTCGGATGGGACGAAAAACCGAGGTCCCGTGTACACATTAGTGTTCACGTAAAAGATCCCTTGGCAGATGGAATACGATATAAGAGGAGGCCGCAACTCCGCAGTCCGGTTAAAATGTCCCTCATAGCACATTGTATGGAATATGCCTGTCTTCATTAGCCCAGTCGGAGCAGAACTGTAGGACGTATACTATTTGGCGATAAAAAGAGCACGACAAGGTTCTGAACTGCCGCCTGTCATATTATTTATATTCCATAATGATATGAAGGTTTACAAATATTTTAATACTAAATGTTTGCGAAATATCTGACACACTGATTAATATTGAATACATTTTATGACAATTTTCCCGGAAAGTAAACTGTTGCAGTGAAACGTAAAAGTTGTAAAATTTGTTTATTAACTCGTGTGTATAAATTATAAAATTTAGGCATTGAAGTATATATATATTTCTTTTGCTCTATGTCGTCTTACCTGTAACGAATGCAGCGAACACTATTATACTACATAATCCATTGTACAATAAATACATTCTCAAGCAAACACTGTTTCGTTTTGAAATAATAAATTCCGAAACACAGATTGAATCCAAACTTTCACTATGTATGCTATCTCTAAAGCAGCTTGTTTGTTGAAGTAATTTTTTTTTTCACTTGTTAAGTTGAGAAAATTTGTTTGATTTTGATTAAGAGAATAGTGGGTGTTATATAGAAACCCGAGTGGCTGAGGTATACTATTTGATTGATGAGATATGCATAAAAACATGGCACGAACTCGCGACCTTTGACGCAATTGACTCATGACAACAGGCTATCCTTACTGAAATCCGGTGATATCGTCTGCGTAACGTTTATTCGTTGGCCGTCGGTTATTTCCGTAATGATAAATTTGTCGCTAAGAAGAATTTCTGTCTTGCCTGTCAATCATCATCAAATACGTCAACTGGTGACAAGTTGTGTATGTAACTACTGATATATCTATCAATTCGAATATTTTAACGCTTTCCTCGCTCCACTGGGAGATGGTTTATGGTTGAAATAGGTACATCAAACAATACTTCTATTGTTCTTAATGGCTTAAAAACACACGATATCATAATAAAAGAAAGTATAATAGTATATGATGCCACTACAAAACAGGTGCTCAATTTGAATATGTTTGTAAATATAACTAACACCAATGGGTGAACAATAAATGATA